GTTAAATATAAACAGACAGCCAAAATACAGACATTTGAAGAAAGCCAGAGACTATAACAAACAGGAGTGGGGGAGGATCTGAGAGCTGATAGTGAGAATAAAGTCAGCCAAACAATGTTTAAAAAGTAAAAGTTAATGCATGCCAAGAGTTCACCAAAACCTTACATCCATTATATATATATATATATATATATGAACAGAACCTTATTTTAAAAAAAGGAATATTCATGGAACAAGAAACACTTCTTGGAAATTAAATATGTAGTAGCAGAAATAAACAACTTGAGTAGCAGGGTTGGAAAGTGAAATTAAACAAACTCTCCCAGAAATTTGAACAAAGAAGACAATTAGAGGATGTTTTCAGGAGGTTGGGACATTCAGCTAAGAGCAGTTTCAGAAAAAGCATGACAAAAACGGTGAGGAAGAAATCACTGAAGAAATAATAAAAGAAAGTACACTAGAACTTCACAGCATGAAAGTTCAAACAGAAAGTCCCAGCACGACTACTGATAAGAGCTTAGCTAAAGCACATTATCATGAAATGTAAAAGTACTGGGGATTAAGAGAAGATGAGAAAAGCTTGAGAAAGAAAACAGACTACATATAAAGGATTAACAATCACCATGCTATCAACTTCCCAAGTGGCAATGGGCATAGAGACAATGAAGGAATGCCTTGTAAAATACTGAGGAAATACAGGGCTTCCCTGGTGGCGCAGTGGTAGGGAGTCCGCCTGCCAGTGCAGGGGACGCGGGTTCGTGCCCCGATCCGGGAGGATCCCACATGCCGTGGAGCGGCTGGGACCTGTGAGCCATGGCCGCTGAGCCTGTGCATCCGGAGCCTGTGCTCCGCAATGGGAGAGGCCACAACAGTGAGAGGCCCGCGTACCGAAAAAAAAAAAAAATACTGAGGAAATATGATTTCCATCTTGAAATTTTATTCCTAAATAAACTAACAATCAAAGGTGATATATATTACCACCTTTAATATATATATCCGGGGTGAAATACATATATGTGTGTGTGTGTGTGTATATATTTATATGTATAAAATTGCTGATTTGCATATATATATTTGCATGCAAGACACACATTCTAAACTTCTTTCTTACTCATAAACCTCTGTTTCGATTGAAACACCAAAGTATACAACTAAAATTATTTATTTTTCTATCTTCCCATGCAGCAAGTAGTGGCCCTGTGTCACAGTCTAGCCAAGAGAAAATCTGCTACAAAGGTTTCTGGAAATACTTTTATTTTCCCAATAAGATAGATTTGCTGACTCTGCTTTTTGCCTCTTTTGCCTTATTACGGCCTAGAATGCAGATATAATGCCAAAATGCACAGCAGCTATCATAAGACCATGAGGCATTAAGCATAAAAGCAAAAGCCAACATGTAAGTATGGCAGAGCCACAAGCAAAAGTGAAAGCTCGGGTCCCTAGTAGTATCACTGACCCACTACACCAGCTACTACACCACTTACTTCACAAACGCTTGGGATGTAAAGATTAAAAAAGTCCCCTACACCCGAACCTTCAAGCTGCGAACTTTCAAAGACACGAACGTGGGTTCCACTAAGGTCAGGTGTGAGTGAAACTGCAGCTTGCCCTCCGTCTCCTATTGCTGACAATCCTTCAGCTCTACCATCTCCCACCTCCTCTCCCTCCTCCAGTCAGTAACTCTCCTTGCCTGTTCACTCGATGCCAGCCCCTGGATGCCAGCTGTTGTACTGTACCACTGTACTTTTCAAGGGACTGTACTATAAGATTAAAAATGTTTTCTTCATATTTTGTATTTATTTTTTAAAGTATTATTTGTGTGAAAAGTATTATAAACCTATTACAGTATGGTACTATATAGCCCATCGTGTTAGTTGGGTACCTAGGCTAACTTTGTTGGACTTATGAACAAATTGGACTTACGAACGCACTCCCGAAACGGAACTTGGTCGTATGTACGGGACTTACTGTGGTCAGGTTTTCTGTTACTTGCAATGGAAAGTATTTAATCATTCCTAACAAGTTATCAAAAAAAGTTATCTCCCACATGCCCTTTTAGGAAGTTACTAGAAGATGTGCTCCACAAAAATAAGGCATAAACTAAAAAAAGAAAGTTATGGTGCTCAGAAAACAGGTGATCCAACACAGGAAGGATGTAAGAGGGGTTTCCAGCATCTTGGCAAGAGAGTAGTCCTGAGACAACACTTGACATGCAAGCCTAAAAAGTAACCAGTTCACACTGGAGCAGGAAGAAAAGGGCTCCAAGAGAGATAATACCAAGAAAAATAAATAGTGAATAGATTACCTGATGTGTTTGATCATATTGGAAGTTTACCAATTCTCCCAGAGAGTTTGGAGGTAGAGATTGGTACACAAGAAACAAAGCAAAACAGTAAAAAAAAAAAAAAAAAAAAAAAAAAGCAAAAACAAAAACAAAGCAATGATTAGCTCTAGGAAAAACAAAAAGTTGAAAGAGGTGTGAAATGGAATTACAGAACACTGTGTGGCTCAACCATAAGCAATATTTGCTTCATGGTACAAACATTAAATATTGGTTTTTTATTATGGCGGTATTATACTGGAAAGTCAGAAAGAAGAGAAGCCAGTGTGGATGGAATCGTGAGCATGGGAGAGAGTGGTGAGAAAGGAGATAACAGAGGAAAACAGGAAATATGTTATACTGAGGTTTGGATTTTCTTAAGAGCCCTAGGAAGCCACTGGAGAGTTTTAAACAGGAAACCAGCATGATCCAACTCATGACTGAGACTGATGACTTTGGCTGTGGTGCTGGGAAGAGTACATTGAGCAGGGACAAGAGGGGAAGCCAGCAGATGAGTTAGGAGGCTACTACACTAGGGATAAGAGGCTCTGCAGAAGAGATCAAAAGAAGCGGGAAAAAAAGCAGCCGAGGCTGGGGAAGGCCCACTTGAAACAGGGGGAAGTGGGTAGATGAGAATACATTTTGGAGGCTGGTGGCTTGTGGAGGGAAAGGAGAGACTCAGGATGACTTTCTAAGTATTTGCATGAGGCATCTGGAAAAGGCAGAGGATGTTATTACCCAGTTGGAAAGATGGGGGCACGGGGTGGAAAATGGATTCAGGAGTAGAGAGTTTGGGATCTAGGGTTCTGTTTTGGACCTGTTAGAGCTGAGATGCCAATGAAGGGTAACATGCAGAGAGACAAACCCCAAAATATGCTCTGTCTTAAACAAGTAGTAATTCCTCCCTTTTTCTTGCCAACACAAAGAAATGTTTCGTTATATGCTGTGATTTGGTGCACTGATTGATTTAAAACTCGATACCGAGAATCCAAGGATAAGCAAGCAGATATCCTGGGATATCACAGCATGTAACCCATTCTAAGTGATTAGGCTTAACCGGCTTTCTATTTGGAGTCATATCCATCCTAAGGAAAAACTACCTCTACCAAAGCTGCAGTCATAAAATAAGAAGTCCTTCCTCCATGAAATAATTTCCCATTATTAGCTTGATTTAGTAAACATTTTCCTCTAAAAAAAAAAAGTATTGTTCATGCTCAGTGGACTTCCGTTTATGTGTACACAGCATGTGTCAAGTCCAAGGCCACCTCGGGCACACTTTGAGATTGTTTCAGGTTTTTAAAAGTTCTTTCTCAATAAATACTCGAAAGGACCCATTTGTACAAAAGTCTTTCAAAACATTTTCGACAACTATTATTTTCACTTGCAGGTCAGAGTTTTCTAACTAAACAGTCAGCAGTATTCTTTCTTGGCATTCTCATTGCTTCTTCCTTCCTTTGAGCAATCTTTTTACTTAATCATTAATTCCCAAATTGGTCTTCATTGCCGTGTGGATTTTATCGAGATCTGGGTTTTAGCCACATTACAGTAGATGCGGTGGGGTATGGAGGTGGGGTGGTGTGGAGGGCAGCAGTGGCAATTACAAAATTAAACGTACCATAAGGTGGTAACGGTTCGCGATTGAGGCCAGCTGTTGAAAAATAATGCCTGTTACACAGAATCACAGAAATTTAGAGCTAGAGGCCAAGGCAAGTCTTTCATTGGTAGGTCGACAGCGCCTCTAGCGGCAGAAAGACGGCGGTGGCGGTGACGGCGACCGGCAGAAACTTCCGAATTTTTAAAAAGGCACCTGCTGTTTGAGTTCTCATTGTGCAAAAAGAAAAGATCCACAGGTACCCATTTAAGGGGATACAACTCGGGAAAACCTAGATCTATAAAACAGCTATAATAGCCACACTTCGGCTTAACGTAGAAATGAGTTGTCGCTTTACACAAGGTTGATTTAAGCGATTATTTAGCTGAGAACCTGACGGAGTGGCGGGAAACAAAGATTCTGCTCAAATCTAGCCGCCACTGACAACTACGCAGGTATCCGGAATTAGAAAGAGAGGGAAAGAAAATTAAAGAAGTAGGCAAGAGAGTCCATTTTTAAAATGGAGAGAGCCGTGGAACGCCACAGGCACACCTGCGGGCACGGGGATGGCTCACCTCCGCGGTTACTATGCGTCCCCCCAAGTGTATCCGAGGGGGAGCAGGGGTGCACAGGAAACCTCATGGAGGGCTGACCAGTCAGAGATGGGGGGATTCACTAAGGGACAGGGTAAGATGACCCAACGAGCATCATCCCGGGCGACACGTGTAACTGTCAAGACAGATACCCTGGCAAATGATCCCCGAGATGGGAGGACACGCGGCAGCGGCCCCGTGGCTGGGCCACCCGGGCTACGCGCTGGCGGCTTCCAGGCCCGGAGCCAAGTGCTCCCTCCTTCCCCCGGGAATTGGCACCTGGGGTGGGGGCCGGGGGGGGCGGGGGTCCCCTCCGAGCCGGGAGCCCGAGCCCGGGGGCTCCGCAGCTGCGTCCCCGCGCGCCGGGTCGCGGGACAATCCCGCCACTCGGCGTCGCCCCCAGTGCGGCGCGTGGTGCCCCCGGAGGGCGAGTCCCCAGCGGGCGGGAGGGGACAGCGGGGGACCGGCGGGGAGCCGCCTGGGCTCGGCGACTTACCTCGGGCCGCGCGCGGCGCCAGCAGAGCCCCGGCCAGGGCGAGCAGGAGGGCGCGGGCGGGGGGCGCAGGCAGCGGGCGCGCTGCCATCGTCGCCGGCCTTCCGTGCAGCAGCAGCTCTCGGGGCCGGGCGGCAGGCGCTGCACCATCCCCCGCGGGCGCCGAGAGGGGGCCGGGCGTCGCGGCCCGAGGGACTTCCTGCTGCGGGGAGTCAACTCCGAACCCCTCGCGCAGCGCCCGGCCGCTGAAGAGCTAGTCTAGGCTTTCATTTTTTTAAAAAAGTTTTCCCCGGCGCGTGTGTGTGTGCGTGTGTGTGCGCGCGCGCACGCTGTTCTGGCACGAGCCAGCCTTGACCGTTGCAATAAACGAGCAAACTGTCCGAGTTGGCCCGGGGACGAGGAAGATCGTTAGGGAGAGGAGGCAGGCCTGTGAAATGGACCCACAGCCAACAGTCACCGTTCTCATCACCACGGAACAAATTATGGTCTCCCCCGCACCCCCGCCCGCCCGCCCGCGGCGTCCCGCGGGTCCTAGAGACCGGTCAGGGGCCCCCGCCAGGGTCCCGCCCAGAGCCGGCTCTGGCCCACCCCCGGGGCGGCTCGGGGCAGGGCGCCTCCCGGGCCGCGCGCCCCGGCGGCGGCACAGACGTGGCTCGGTGGCGGCGCGGGCGTCCGGAGCGCACACATCCCCGCCCCGGGATGATGTGGCCGCGGGGCCCCAGGCGCCCGGCTGCCAAGAGCACACGCGGCTGCACCGTCCAGCTTTCCAGTCTGAGGCTGGAAATGATGACTCGGCTGCTCGCTCCCGGAACGCGGGTAGCAGGTCGGCAAGGCTGCCCGCCGCCCAGGAGGGCGTCCCCGGGCCCCGTCTCCTAAGCCCCCAAACGGATATCTCGTGCGAGAGAATGAACTTGGACCTGCAGGCACGCGACGTCTGGGCATTCTGCTTTAGATGCACTGTTTTATGTTTTACGTTGATAGACTGGATCAAGTTTCTCCTCCATGGCAGGACCCACAAATAAAAGCGCACGGCGACTTTCCCCAGACTCTCCTGATCGTGAGAAACGTCTGGGTTTGTCTGTTAACAATACAGAGTCCCAGGTGCCCTCCCACGCCCTTGAAATGAGCCTCTACAGGCCGCGGGGCCGGGGGCCACCCGGTGTTTGGGAAATACCAGTGAAGTGAATGGAGGGCCTTGCCTCCCAGTCCTAGTTCTTGGCGGTCTCCTCCTCTTCTGCCTAGGAAGGCCTCAGAGACATAATAGCAATTTTAACAACGGGACTTGCCCTCTCCGAGACCGCGGGAAGCAGCAAGGGGAGGGCTACACAGACTACAGGAGGGGTCGAGGATGGGTGGCCCCCACCTTGTGGAACCACCAGAATCTCCAGCCGTGGCCACCTATCAGAACCCTAAGGGCTAGGGAAATATTAACACCGCCACTCAGGTTAATCAGAATCTCCAGCCATGGGCGGAGCCGGAATAGTTTCCAAAGCCCCAGGTGATTCTCATGTGCAGCATGGAGGGAGAACCACCTGCAGAAATCTGTCCTGTGACCTCTCACCAATTTCTGAGGGAAGCCCCATTCCAAGAGGTGTTTAGACAGCATCTGAGGGAACTCTCTTCCTCACCATCTCTTTTTACTGCAAAGTGGCTTTTCTCCTATCTTCCTCCCACCTCCCAGGTTTCTGCAGTGTTCCCAAGGACCAGCTCAGCCCCTCTGAACAACGTGCAGGCCTTTTTTTAAAATAAAAAAACCCAAAAGCCAGAGGCACTGGCCCCAGGACCCCCTTCTCAATGCCAGGACATCTCAGCACTCCATCTGGAAGCCAGGCCTGGGTCCAAGCCCCAGTTTAAATCCAGCCCTACTACTCACCCCTCTGCCTCTCCTTTCTTTGTTCATTCATTTGCTCAATCAGCAATTAGCAACGCTCTGTTAGGGACTTGGGAAACCAGACGGATGAGAACTACCTCTTGCCTTCAAAGACTCTTCTGTCTGGTAGGACAAACGGATCAATCACAACTATTGAATGGTGTGAGCTGCTCACTTGGCCTCTTTCATAATCATTAGGTTGTTTGTTAACCACTACGTTATTTATTACATATTCATATAATCGGAGTACTGTGATCGAGTGCTTCCCGTGCACTGTTTCATTTTAAAATCCTGAAGATCCAGATGAGGAAATTGCAGTGTCTAGAGGTTAAGTAGTTTTCCTGTGGTCACAGCACTAAGAAGTAGGTCAGAGCCCACACCAGATCTATTTGCAGATGCAGCCTGTGCTTTAGTTCTGATTTCCAAGCTTCAGGTTTAGCATCTGTTAAGTGAAAGTAACATACAAACCTCCCAGGTGGTAGTGAGCATTAAATGAGCTACCACGCCTCCCCAAGCCACGGGATTCCTGATGGTTGTTCAGACTTCAAATCCTCTGGCATTTACACTGGCGATCCCTCTTACAGAGGTCTGGGAAGGACAGTTGCAGCGAGTACCCAGGTGATTCTGATGCTATTCTGATGCTCCGGTTCCACAGAACTTTCAGACACCGCACAAGAGCATTTTAAATTGTTTCCTTTGAGATCAGTGAGGGAGACTCACTTTAGGATGAGTCCAGCTGCTGGCCTCTTGAATCTTTCTGACGGGTTAAATTGTTTACTCATTAGTGGAAGTAATACGCACTGTGCACTGGACCGGGGGCTTTATACACTGTCTCTCCTAACGGTCCATTTCTTTTTCTCCTTTAATATTCAGCTCTTGACGATAGAAGTCCAATTTTTTTTTTTTTTAAACCTGGAAGCTGCAAAGCTCTCTCCAAAGGGCTAAATGTGCCCCCAAGACTGTCCTTGGTTTGTTTTTGACTGAATGAAACAAAACAGTCAATGCAGAGGGAAAAAAAGAAGGATAGGGAAGAAAATCCTATCCATTAGCCCTAGTTTCTCAAGCTTCTAATCCACCATCTCTGTGAAGCAAGGAGCCTGGGCTGACACTCTATCCATAATGACTTCATGACCCTCAGTAACAGCCAGCTAGGCAGAGGGCGGATCCCATGTCCGGCAGATGGCCGGCCTCTGGCAGGGAACTCTGCCTCCACCCCCGCAGGAAATGGAAGCTGACATGGCATTCAATACTGGATTGTTGGGTAATGGCATGAGGTCAGAGGCCAGGGTCTGCTCATTAAAATTTCAGATAGATGGCTTGTTGTCTTTTCCTTTCCAGAAAAATTGCCCTTTGCGATACTGTTTCCTGTGAGCTATTTTTGCCCTGCAGCCTGGTCATTCACAATGAACAGGGCACTTATTTCTCACCCAAACTCACATTAACTCAATCTGCTTTGAGTCCAAGCAGGTGAAAAAATGGAGGCAAATGTTCCTAAGGCAGGACGTTACAGGCAGCCCCTCCTGATTTCTGCTGTAAGGGAAGGGTCAGCCTCCTTGCCGCTCTACCTAGTGATGGAGCTGCAGACACAGGCTCGCAAAACAGCTTTTATCTCTCCAAGCACGGTTCCCAAGGCTTGCTGCAAAAGTAAACAAACACAATCGCCCCATGATTAAGATTCTTGGAAATCGCTTTAATTCCATCTCTTGGGGAGATTGAAACTCATGATTGTCTCAGCCTATAATAACATGAAGCCCACTTTTGTTTTCTTAGATCTTCTCACTTCAAGAGCCTATTATGCCTTCACCTCTAGAAACTTGCCCCCAAAGAGCCTCCTCTGGACAGATTAACCCCTCTTGGCTCTGATGCTTCCATTATTGCACAGAACCGGTGCTTAAGTAGCCCATCTGAACTCCAAAGGAAGAATGCTCTTGGGGGGGATCAGGGACTCAAGGATGCTCGAGCTAGAAGGGACATGGAAGGTCACTCAGGCTGGCTCCCTTCCCCCATCTATACTTATCTGTGTCACCCTGTCAGCTGACCATCCAACTGCCCCTTACTTGCCTACTGTGGTACGGAACACATTACCCACCAAGAGAGCCCATTTGAAGTACCGCAAGTGATTGACAACACCCAAGAGGAACAGAGAGCCACATGGCCAAGTTGCCAGCTGCTCAGATAGCCCCTTGGCTGCACTGGTCCATCCACTCCCACCATCACTAGGACAGGCAGAATGAAAGGACAGTACTCGGAGAAAGGCAAACAAGGAATCTCGAAAACAAACATACCTCACAACAAGAATGATCAAATATTTGTAGACCCTCCTTCATTCAAGAAATAAAGGTTCATCTCCTTCCCTTTTCATGCAGGCTGGGCTTAGACACTCATTCTAATAAATAAAATAGGGCCAAAGTGACCGTGTGTGAGTTTGGAGACAAGTCCTGAAAGGCATGAGTGACCCAGATCACTCACTGGTGGTGGGAGGAAACCAGCTGCTGTGTGGTGAGGACACTCAGGCAGCCCAATGGGGAAGAAATGAAATGAGGAACTGAGGTCTCCAGCCATCGGCCACATCAGCTCACCATCTTGAAAGTGGATCTTCCAGCCCTGGTGGAATTTTCAGATGATTGTAGCCCAGGGCAGCAGCTGACTGCAACCCCCAGAGAGCCCCGGAGGCAAACCCATCCAACTGAACTGCTCCTGAATTCCTGACCCACAGAAACTGCATGAGATAATGACTTTTTGTTGTTTTGAGCCACTAATCTGGGGGATAGTTTGTTATTCAGCAATAGAGGACTAATGCATATTTAATAAAACAAGCATTCCATTACTATGTTTTTTCTAGCTTCCAAGGATTGCTGATAATTTCAATACCAAGGGAACCTCCCTTCTTGTCTTTGAGCTTTGAATAAGAGTTATAGATAGGGTGGCCATAGGTCCCAGTTCTATCCTAGCATAATTGTCAGTGGTGCCCCCCATTCACTTTTACAAGGGTCCTGGTTTACTAACAGATTGCCCTGTCATCCTATCTGTAGATACGTATGTCTTCTGTATGGTGTTTTGGGGGCAGAAAGGGGAGACAGGCACATAAGCTTCATCCTACATCTTGACTCTCTTCCTTCTAGGGATGACGGTTGAATGAGTGACTGAACTCACAGTGATGGATAGTACACCTAACCATGCCAACAGTGATGACAACCAGAGCGAGCTCTCCAGCAGTATATGGAGTTTCACAAGGTTCTCTTGAGTATTTTCACTACATGGTTGGCCAGTCACGCAGTGATCTGATCTAAGCCGCCACTGCCGGAAGTTGTAAGACATTTTTTACCAGGTGCCAAAGGACTTGCAGGCATTTGCTGTTGACTGTATTGTGAACACATCACCGAGAAAATGTGATGAAAGGTCATGGAGGAAGAGACCCACCAGAGAAAAGCAAAGATGCTCCCACTGTCCAGGCTGTGGCCACTCACTTGTCATCTGAAAAGACGCCTGGGCTCCCGGAAGCCAGGAGAGCTGGGATTTGGGGTGGGGGATAGTGCTTTAGAGACAAGCCAGGGCCTCCACACCTCCCCATCTCCAGCA